ACATACAATTAATGTAAGCATGTGTGGCATACATTGCACCTACAATGCAGTGCAACCATGAACTGCTTGAAATTAATGTCTTTGCCTGCTGGATTATAGATTTTATGCTACTGCTAATAATATAATAATCATGTTTCTTTTCATACATATGTATGGCAGTCCGGAGACGTGTAACTCGTCAGGCTCGGTAGCTACGGGGCAGTTGTCTGGACAGGTTACTCGCCAGCTAGAAGCTTGGTAAATGTGCAACCTTGAAAGTGTCATAATTAGGCACAGATATGCGCGCTGAGTGTGTGAAATGTTATGACGAGGTTAGTTAACATGTTTGCCATCAAATATAAGTGTAGGGAGGCATTATTTGTCCTTACGATTTGCTCTCTACCTACGGCCATTTGGCAGTCCAGAGACGTGTAGCGCCCAAGGCTCAGCAGCTACGGGACAGTTGTCTGGACGAGGTTACTTTTGACGTGCAGCCCCGAAAGCACATTGGGAAGCATGAATATAGCCGGTGAATTTATCATAAGTGAAATTTAGGTTACTTAGGGTGTTTGCCACTTGTATTGGTGCTCCGATGTAACATGACCATTGGTAGTCATGGTCATGGCCCAAAGGAACGCCGATTGTTCCAGCACAAAGTAGAATATAGTTGATGAACAAATAAGTACATAGGCAAGGTTACCCGAGGCCGACGTCGATCGATCTGGTCGACCAGGTCCGCCAATGTAGTGGGTCCATGCCACAATATCCGAAAGTCGGCTGAAATCATTTAAAACCTTGTCAGGTTTACTGAACAAAATTACGACCGACGAGATTTCCATGCCATTGGCTGACATAACCGCTCATGTACGGCTTTGGCTATTATGGCTTCAATGTCCAATGTCCCAATGTTTTTATGTAGGCAGGTAGTGGTGGGCCACATCTGTGCCACGGTTGTTTTTCCTTGTGGATTCGTTACCCGTTGCCCTCTTTCTTGTTCCTGATGCTATGGAGGGTGGCTGGGGCTGGTTGGGGGAGGGGGGCGTGTATGTTTCGCCTCCGTCATTGACGTGCCTGCCCTAATTGTCATGTTCCCATCCATGTGCTGCACGTGCAGCAGGCCTCGGAAGATGGGGCCGACGCCCAGCCGGGAATGGAGGTAAGATGGGGGCGAGGGTCGGGGCTCTTATGTGTTTTACATGGGGCATCAAAACGCTGTCGTACTCCGATATGGCTATCGGAGTACGGCAGATTTGTTTGATGTAGGCAGGTAGTGGTGGGCCACATCTGTGCCACGGTTGTGTGTTTCGTTGTGGAATCGTTACCCGTTGCCCTCTTTCTTGTTCCTGATGCTATGGAGGGTGGCTGGGGCTGGTTGGGGGAGGGGGCCGTGTATGTTTCGCCTCCGCCATTGACGTGCCTGCCCTAATTGTCATGTTCCCATCCATGTGCTGCACGTGCAGCAGGCCTCGGTCGATGGGGCCGACGTCCAGCCGGGAATGGAGGTAAGATGGGGGCGAGGGTCGGGGCTCTTATGTGTTTTATGTGGGGCATCAAAACGCTGTCGTACTCCGATATGGCTATCGGAGTACGGCAGATTTGTTTGATGTAGGCAGGTAGTGGTGGGCCAAATCTGTGCCACGGTTGTGTGTTTCGTTGTGGAATCGTTACCCGTTGCCCTCTTTCTTGTTCCTGATGCTATGGAGGGTGGCTGAGGCTGGTTGGGGGAGGGGGGCGTGTATGTTTCGCCTCCGTCATTGACGTGCCTGCCCTAATTGTCATGTTCCCATCCATGTGCTGCACGTGCAGCAGGCCTCGGTGGATGGGGCCGACGTCCAGCCGGGAATGGAGGTAAGATGGGGGGGAGGGTCGGGGCTCTTATGTGTTTTACATGGGGCATCAAAACGCTGTCGTACTCCGATATGGCTATCGGAGTACGGCAGATTTGTTTGATGTAGGCAGGTAGTGGTGNGCCACATCTGTGCCACGGTTGTGTGTTTCGTT